GGCGGCGGGCGGCGGGCGGCGCCCAATGCCCGGCGGGCAAGGAAACCGGCTGTGCGGTACCTGAGTCATACTGTGCGTATTATCCCGATATATTTGTACGGGGGGTTACGACATAGACTCGGCGCGATGGTGCCTGTTTCGCCTCACGAATAATGTATTTAATGGTGTAGCTAGGGTTAGGTTTTAGAGTTTCTATTTGATGGAATTGAATATTTTATCTTTGGATTTATAATGATGACTTCTATTTCTGAGCGATGGGCAACAGCCGTACTTGTAATTGCACGAGAAAGGTCTGGTTGCAACTAGTTGCAACTGCTGTGAGGGAGTTGCAACCCCACACCCCCACCAGTGGCCAGGAGGTGCAACCCATGAACTACTACGGCTGTAACTACAAGTACAGGAGTAACAAGAAGAGAGGTGTGCGACGAAAAATGTTAGTGGGGGGAGTTGTAATGTAGGGGGAGAAAACATATAGAGAGATATAGTACATATGAAAAAGAAAATATATAATGCAGAAGAGTCTGTAGAAGGCGAGAGATGCAAGCATGAGAACATATAACACATGAGATGAGACTTGAAACACATAAGAAACTGCACACGGGGAAGCGGGGCATGCAGGGATGAGATAAAGCAAAGATGGACGAAGTGGGCGACAAGGGACCGAGAATGCCGAAGAGGCCGAGCGCGCCAGGAAGCCAGGAAGCCTCCAAGTCCTTGCCGCGCATGCCAAAGAAGCCGGATGCGCCGGTGAAGACTTGTAAGGGGGAAAGGCCCCACTTCTTTCCCTTCCCAGCCTTCTTAGCCGGGGTCTTCACGGGCGCCTTCGCGGGAGTCTTCGCCGGGGTCTTCCTCGCCTGAGGCTTCTTCCCCTGCGACTTCTTGCCCACCTCAGGTTCCGCATCCTCTTCCCCCTCCTCGGGCGCCAGCTCCTGCTCCTTGGCATTCTTGCGCGAAGCCGCCTTCTTCAATGAGGCCTTCTTCTTCTTCGCCGGCTGATCGTCCTCATTGTCCAGCATAGGCGCAGGGCCCGTCTCCTCCTCATCCTGGACGTCGTTGCGCTTGCACTTGCCCGTGTTCGCCACCGGAGGAGTCGACTCCTTGGCCTTGGCCCCCGGCTCCTTCGCATCCTTGGCGGGGTTGCGGTTGGAGTGCCGAGGAGGGGGAGCTGCAGTTGGCTCAGCTGCCCCACTCCTACGCTTTGCGATTCCCTCCGCAATGCAACGGCACGTCTCCGCCAAGTCAGGAACATCGGGGTCCGTGGTGTCGTCGGGATCCACGCCATAGCGTCCGTGGCGGGAGCAGGGGGCGGAGGATCCTTCGCTGTTGCCTGGTTCTTGGTCCACTTCCTTGGAGGGGGGAGGCGCTTCATCCCGGCCTCCCCCTCAGGCTCTCCGGGCGACTTGGCTGCCGGGGTAGGTGCTGACACTCCCTCTACAGGCGAGGCGGTGGCAGGTGCAGGTTTGACGGAGGGGGGTTCATCCCTAGAAGGGGTTGGCTCGCGGGAGGGAGTGCCAGTGGAGAGCGGGGAAGGTGGAGGCTTCTTGGCGGTCATTGGCGTAGTGGAGCGTGCACGTCCTGGCTCGACGGTCTTGTCCACATCGTTGACCTGCATCTGCATGGCTTCCTCACCATCCTTCCCCTTCACCCCTTCCTCGCCATTCTTCCCCTTCGCCCCTTCCTCGCCATCCTTCTGCGCATCAACCTTGCTGCCGTCGGCGCCAAGTGTGCCGTCACCGCCGGATGTGCCGGGCATACCGGATGCGCCGAGCGTGCCGGGCGTGCCGAGCGCGGCCTCCAAACTGGAAGTGCTGGCGGCCGCGCCAACGTTCTTCGCCCCCTCCTCGGTGGCGTCGCTTGTGGGTTGGGTCGCGTCCAACACCCCTGCCGGCGCAGGTTGAGGTGCCGATGGCTCATATAATTCCGCTGCACTGCACCTTCACCATGCCATCGGCAGTGCGGATGCCGTCCGGCATCGTTGAGATCGGAGATGCGGATCCGCACGGACGCAGCCTCTAAGTCTCTAGAGCAGTGGCAGGGGCCAACGGTGCCGAAGGTGCCGATTTGGTAGATAAAGTACTGGGATAGACCAAATGTAGTAGGGTAGGTGTATATGCTATTGGGGATAGGTATATGCTTTGGTATACCCTGAATGATACAATACTGGTGGTACCGGCACCCTCGGCAGTTGGCAGGCCAAATGTGTGGGCCAAAATGTGCTGCCGATGCTGCCGAAAAAATTATTCAAATACTGCGTGTACTGATATACTGTCAGTGTGTACTATACTAGTGACAGTATAGGCCATTAGTAGTCTACAAACAGTACAAATACAGAGGTGCCGGTAGGTTCGGCAGGTTCGGCATCCCAATAAACCTCTGTTAATTAGGTGCCGATGCTGCCGGTGCTGCCGGTTATACTGTATCCAATGATCCCACATGCACCTCCGTAGCATCTACAGCCACCTTTGACATGACTGAAGCTGGTATCAAACAGGTCTAGCAGTACAGCGAGCCATTCCCTCAGTTTTACTGGTGAATCAGTGGCTGTAGATCTGGGATCGGCAGCTGCAGCTTCAAAACGTCGGCAGCATCGGCAGCAGGTCTATAACATTAGCAGTAGCCTCTCTACATTGTCAATAGCTATATGACCATAACCCTCTCTATGGTTAGTAACAGCTGTCTATATGGGTTCAGCAGCTCTAGCCCAAAAACGTCGGCAGCTCTAGGTCCAAAACGTCGGCAGCTGCTCTACATCATTGGCAGCAGCTGCTCTACACTGTCGGCAGTAGCTACTCTTCATTTCTGGTGGTTGCTGCTCTCCATTGTCCATGGTCATATGGTGTACACTTTGATTTTTAACAAGCTATGGGAACATTACATAAGGTGCTACTTTGCTTGTATCGGATAGGATCAAGAAGTTCACATGATGTCCGGAAATACACTCACAGGGCGTATTGATGTGATGATGTAATCAAAGCATGAAATCAGGCAGGTTGTGAGACTTCTAACCCTAACCCTAACCCTGCCTAAAAGGAATTAATTGCTGGAGTTTGAAGAAAAGTCGTCAGAAACTCCGGCCTCTCTATAGGTTGTACAAAAGTAGAAGTGACTAGTCAAAGTGCACTATAAAAACACCTTTTCGACTGAGCTATAGCAGTTGGTTGTAATTATCAAATTAACAGTTATCTATCTAACACCTGAACCCAAACCCTAACCCTAAGTCTGGTTACCACCATGCTCATCATGCTCTTTACCATGCTCGTCATGCTCATGCTCTTTACCACGCTTGTCATGCTCATGGCCATGACATCATGGAGTC